GTTTAGGGTAGGGTTTAGGGGGTTTAGGGTTTAAGGTTAAGGGGGTTAAGGGGGTTTAGAGGGTTTAGGGTTTAGGGTAGGGTTTAGGGGGCTTAGGGTTTAAGGTTTAGGGTTTAGGGGATTAAGGGGGTTTAGGGGGTTTAGGGTTTAGGGTTTAGGGTAGGGTTTAGGGGCTTTTGTTGTTGTCACATCATCTTGGAATTAATTTATGCAGCTGTTTCCCCTAGGAGCACCAAAACCCCATGTCATATGAGCTATAGTCTAAACTCCTAGCATCCCCCTTGATAACCCCTATAATAATCCCCTACATAATTCCCTATATAACCCCCCCTTTCAGGAGTTTAGACTATGGCTCATATAGCCTGAACGAGCCTTGAGAGCAGGCACCCTTAAACGCTGTCAGGGTGTAGACTTCATGGAGCCGTAGGTTCCTTTGTCTCCAAGTATGGGACCCTCACGGATAGGTGGGTATACAACCCTAAGGGTCTAAGGACCCAAATAATAAGGGCTTAGGGTCCAAATACTATAATATGAATGGTATTTGGGCCCTAAAACCCTTGGACCCTTGGGGCAACATAGGACCGTGGGAGTCCCTATTGCGAACACAGAGAGGACAGTGGCGGTCCCTGGTAGCTATTGAGAAGCTCCCATATATGCTATAGTCTAAACTCCTAGTATCCCCCTTAGTAACCCGTATAGTAGTGCCCTACATAACCCCTTATAAAACCCCTCTTTTAAGGAGTTTGGACTATGGCTCATATCGCAGCGCTGTTCTTCAACAGATACTGCGCATGTTGCCGCGGCCATCCTGTACACCTTGCTTCTAAGCAATGGCTTCAGGATTTAGAGTTTAGGGTTTCAGGGCTCAGGGTTTAGGGTTAGGAAGGATACCATCAATGCTGAATCGCCTCTTCAAAGAAGAAAAAACCTGAGCCCTAAAATGCACACCTTCCCGGAATCATCCCCTTTACAGCAAAAGGTATCACAATGAGCAACAGGAATTATAATGGCCCCCTCATTAAACCCCTTTAGGGACAGTTACTGTGAAGCGGGAACGACCCGGACCTTCTACTTTAAACCTTAAACCCTGAACCCTCATTCTCATGTGGGGATTTCCTAGAACCAGCGGCCAAGGGTTATGGTCTTTGGGGGTCTATGAGGTCGACCCCATTGCTGCACCCTAAACCGCTAAAACCCAAACCGATGTGTGAAGGTATCCCCCGGCAGATGCAGCCCTGAACGCTGTTTAATGTAGACCCATGATTGATAACCCCCCCTTTTAAAGACCTAAATATTAAGATCCCTACTAAAATCCCTACGAAGGGGAGGGGGTTCATTAATCAGTTCCTGGGGTATGGTTAAGGGTTTGAACCCTAACCCTGACGGCTAAAGCTTAGGTTGTTGGCGTCTAGGGTTCAGTGTTAAGGGCTTGCCTACACCTTTAAACCCAACCCCCCAAGCCCCTAAACCCTGAATCCTTGCACGCGGACCCCCTAAACCCTAAACTCTAAACCCTAACCCTAAAACCCTAAAGCCCTATACCATGCGCGAATGGGGCCCCAGCAGATGCTATGGTGATGGGCGAGGGCAATGACTCTTCCGCCTGGACGCCGGCTGGACATGACTTGCTCATGGGATATTAGGGCTTTGTGCTTAAAACTTAGGGTTTGGGGTTGACATGTGAGCTTTTCCTAGATTGTAGGGTGTAGGCTTTGGCTTTAGGGTTCAGTGTTTAGAACATGGAGGGCAATGCGATATTGAGGATTGAGAGTTTAGTGAATAGACAAATGGAACATAGACAAAGTGAAAACTGCTATCTTATGGGCTACGTGGGGAAGATTTGCGGTTTAGGTTGTTAGTAGGGAATCAAGGAAAATAAGCTCCTTCGACATTTTCTTGAGATTCAGGATGTGATCCATGGCTACAGAGGTCGATGTGGAAGTACCTACGTGAACTACGTACACTTGGTAAACCGTGAACCGCAAGCCCATGCCCTAATCCCTGAAGCCTAAACCCCTGTTCCAAAACGTCTCAAGCTGCAGTGGTCAAGATCAGCTTGGCGCGCGCTCTGACACCACCAGCCTCTCTGAGCAGAATCCGTGCATCCCTTGCACAGGAAATGCGTAGATCCGGATGGGGGAGAAACAATGCCCCCATTTCAGTGGAGCCGCCGGAAGAAGCAGCAACCGAAGTACTGCTGGACGCAATCGAACCAGGTCTGCTCGGTTTCCGGACTCTGGTATGTAGGGCGGAAGAGTATATGACCTTCAGACATCTTCAGACATTGGATGCCTTTAAATGCGCTCGGCAATTTTGCTGCAACAGAGGGCTCTGCTCATGTAACTACTCAATCCCCTTACCCTATTATTAACCCCCCCCCCCCGCCACGTGAAGCCCAAATACTACATATTCCCACACGTACCCCAACATATGAGCCATAGTCTAAACTCCTAGTATCCCCCTTTAATGGCCCCTACAGTATCCTTATGTACTTCCCTATAAAACCCATTTTTTGAGGAGTTTAGACTATGGCTCATATTGGGAAACATCTTTTACTTTGGGGGTTGGTGTTAGACACCATCTTCCGGGCCCATGGTGCTAACCTCCTGGGTTGGGGGTTTAGGGTTTAAAGGTTTAGGCTTTTGCGGACTTGGGATATTATTCATCCAGACCCTACTTACCGCCAGTAGATGAAGGAAACCTTCATTGTCGCTTTGGGCTTCGAATTACGCAGGATGTACCTGAACCCCAAAAGTATGTAGAATAATGGGCTTTTGGGCTAGTTTAAGGGTTCAGGTACCCTAAGCATCAAAATCAACTAAAAACCTTAGATAGTATGGTCTATGGGCCCAAATTCCTTAAAATGTGAATCCTTAGATGCTCAGGGCTCGAGCTGTGGAGGATTTAGGGCTTACCTGGACCCCAAAAGTATGTAAAATAATGGCCTTTGTGGCTGTTATTTTGGATTTAGGGCTATTATTTTACATACTTGTGGGGTTTAGGTACTACCCCAAATCCCGAACCCCTAAACCCTAAACCCTAATAGTAGGGCTTAAGGCTGAGGAGTTGGTATTTATTGCCAGCCCAAGGCTCTTGGACCCGTATAATGGGATCCCAAACCCGAGCCACCAAAGCCCAAACCCTTCCCCACAAAGGCCCACGCAGTCGTAGGAACCGTAAGGTAAAACCTAAGCCCCAAACCTTAAATCCTATATCCCAAACCCTATATCCTAACCCCTCAGTCGATAGTATCTAGGGTCTTGGGATGGATGCTCAGGGTTCAGGACTGAAGCGGCGGGTTTAGAAGTTGGAGTTCGAAATCTGTTGGGCTGCGTGCTTAAACTTTAGGGTTTGCAAACGTTTGGAGTTCTGCTGTTAAATTGAGAGGCCAGGAGCTGGTTTAGGGTTTGGGGTTGTTAGGTTTCCCTAAACTCTGAGCCCTTTTTCAACGAAGCCTCCCAGGAGTTTGTATTGGCTAGGGTCAAGGTTGAGGGGATCCTAAACTAAAATCCTCACACATATTCTTTACTGTTGCTACTATGATTGCTAATCCTATTCTTACTATTGTGGTTATTGTTGCTATTGGACCCCCCAAGCAACGACAGTGACCGTACGGGATAATGATGATTTCGTTAGGATCCTTATATTCTGATTATATCACTATTACAGGGCAGCTCCGCTTCGAAGTGGCAGCCAACTATGGTTATGGCGGCTTAATGTAGACCCATGATTAATAAACCACCTCCTTCTAAGGGCCTAAAAATTACCTAAACCCCAAAAGTATGTAAAATAATAGCCCTAAACCATCCTAAACCCATAATAACAGCCATAAAGGGCCATCATTTTACATACTTTTGGGGTCCAGGTACCCTCAGCATCAAAATGACCCAAAAACCTCATATCGTATCGTCTCTGGGCGCAAATTCCTTCAAATCTTAGAGGTTTAGGATTTAGGGTTTAGGGTTTTGGGGTTTAGGGTTTAGGATTTAGGGTTTAGGGTTTAGTGCTTAGGGTTAGGATCCCTATTTCAGGGGAGCATCCTAAACCTGAAGCTCCAACTCTAAGCCTCCAACCTGGAGCTATGGGTTTAGGGCTTAGGGTTAAAGAGGCTAGGGTTTAGGTTTTACGGTTTAGGGTTATAAACCCTAGGTTTAGGGTTATAAAACCTAGTACCCCACACCCTAAACCAGTGAAAGAATGACCCAAACGGAAGGCCCTCAGAAAGGAAATCCAGGCTCTCAGAGTGTCTGTCCTACATGCCGGCCCTGGGGGGTTCTGAACCGTTGCTACATGCCCGGGCCGCGGCCTTTCTTTAGACTGGGGCGATCAGAGATTTTGGAGTCATGGAAGTTGTTGAAGTATTGGATACGTCTTCTACTTCTATGCACCTTCATTTGCCCAGAACTTCTACATATGTGGGTCAGTGCACATGCGTTGGTCTTTTTGAGAAGAGCTCCAGGGAGCAGATCCGGACGCCACACGTTGTGTCACTAATCAGGACCCAACACCAATGATGGGATTGTCATCACCCAATCCCTATGCTGAGGACTCTGAAGCTATCGTATGAGGGTAAACGCGTCCTCATATCAGCGTTGGGTAACTAAAATGCCCTGATTAAAACCCTAACCCCAAACCATAGACCCCAACCCTAAACTAAACCCCAATTACTACACTCTAATAAACCCCTATACCTAAAGTGGGACCCCAAAACCAGATGCTGCCCTGGGAGATGTCAGGACTTCAACAAGCTTACGGCTACCTCTTCAGAATTGAAGTAGGGTTTAGGGTTTGGGGTTTAGGGTCTAGACATTAGGGTTTAGGGATTAGGGGTTAGGGTCACAAGGGTTTAGGGTTTATACAAGCTGTATAGCGAGTTTTCACTTTTGACTTTTGCCCTACACAATATTTGGGCTTGAGAGTTTTTGGTTCGGGGTTTAGGGTTGGTCGCCATGGCTTCTACTGCATAAGAAGCTACTGTCAACAATTTCAATGTCGCCATGATATCCAGGCTGTGTAGCGTGTTTGATGGAAACTTGCGTGGCCCTATGAAAGTGAATATTAGGAACTGCGAAAAATACTGTAGTCTTCAATCTTCTTCGTCTCATGCAGGATTTTGTCCATCGACATTATCCCAAGACCCGAAAGCCACATAAGATCCCACATCACCCCCACCTTAATTAACAATCCCCCGGCTCTAAACCCTATACTCTGTTTGCACTTTGCCCTGGATGTCAAGGATGCCTCCGTTTTCTCGGCAATTTCATCTGGAGCTTCCTGACCATCTTCATGATGAAGAGTTCAAGGTTTGCACCCCCAAAGTACTATGGGGTTTCGGAACATGGGGATCCCTAAAACCACTAAGCCCTGAACCCTACCCTGGGTGTTCGTATAAGATAGGTTCTTGGAGGTTATTTTTGCACATAAGAGGTGCTCCCCAACACTCTGTCTTTAATGGGCCTTGTGTGGGGGCTGGTAACCCTCAAGCCTAAACCCTAAACCCTAAACCCCAAACCCTAAACCCTAAAACCCTAAAACACTAAACCCGAAAACCTAAACCCTAAACCCTAACCCTAAACCCCAAGCGCAACTTTTTCAGACCGAAAAACTCGCAGACATCCGAAAACCTCGGCCCCTCAGCCCTTAGCCCTACACCCTAAACCACCCTAAGGGTCCAAGGACCCAAATAAGAGGGGTCCCTTTAATGTAGGGTTTAGGGTTTATAGGGTTTAGGGTCCAAGGACCCAAATATTAGGGCTTTAGGGACCAAATACTATACTACTTATGGGATTTGGGCCCTAAAGCCCTATTATTTGGGTCCTTGGACCCTTAGGGCAATAAACCCTTAATCCTTTACCCTAAATAGACCACGACGCATTTTCCTGTGATGTCATGGTCTACGGTGTAGCCTCCAGGCGATTTCAAGTAAGTGGCTTCCTCATGTACGCCCGACATTGCCCCCATTTGGGCTCGTGTGCAAACCCCCTGGCCACTCTTCCTATCCTA